GGATTAAATCTCTCATTTAATAATAAGAGTGTGAGCTGAGTTCCACCCTTTGTTCCCTTAGGGGAATGGTCTCCTAAAGACAAAAATCCCCATCAATTCCTCTGTGTATAAGAGCCATCTCAGAAACAGAGAGCATCATCATCTCGCGATCATCAAAACAAGTGCACGCTCAAGATCTGTCTCAAGCAGAAGACCAAGGGCACCGGAGACCATGGAGCGAAGAATCCAGGCCAAGGACAGAGGCTGAAGCAAAGAGACCATGCGGCAGAACAGAAGAGCCACACCAAAACAGAGGGGACCTGGAGGCCAAGTGACAGGCAGGCTTCCCGGCAGGTAGAGGTAGAGGCCCGGTCCACCTGACTGAGGGCTGAAGAATGAGACTTGGCTGTGGCTGAGAGGTACTGCAATGGACAAGCAACTGTATCCTTACTGTTCACTGATCCTGACTTGTGGTAATCTGTTAACTTCCCTAATCAACCCCTTCATTGTGAATGTTGTCTGCGGGAAAGAAGGATGAAGGGAGGGGGCATGCATGACTTTTGCCTTGTGGCAACGGGGAAGCCAGAGGAGGTCAAAGAGGCCCCTCTACCCATGACACTGACTCCATCGATTATAAACAAGGGTCGATAAGTTCCCAGGTCTGTCTTTGATTTGAATTTGTACTTAACTCAGAGCAATTAGGTGTGATTCACATCTAGGGCCACTTGGCCAGCTATCTGCCATAGCACATCGCATACGGTATGCCTTTACTGCATAGAGAAATGAAAAGAATCACTTCAAGATACATCGAAAGAGGTTTGAGCCAATAATAATGTTTTGCTTCCTCTTTTCTTAGACTTTCCTTATACACTTAAATTTCAAAATGAGTTGTTGACTATTGACTATTCCATAACCAAAGGTTAACGGTAACTTTTAAAATGGTTAGACGCAAGATGAGGTCACTTCATGGGACCTTGAAATTAACTTTTGTTATCAGTCATATAGAAAGATATAAAGTATTATTTACTGATCTGCTAAAAAAAAACAGGGCAAATAAGCTATTTTGGACATAAAGGAGCACATGGAGAGCAAATGCTTTGGTTCAAACAAAGCACTAACATATTCCATTAAACATAGTTGGGCATTTGGGGTTTTTTAAATATCTATAAATTCTTATGAAACCTTATAAAAATTTGGCTTGAGTTTGAAAATCCTCGATTTGCAATTTTTTGCTTTGTTTGGGAAGGTGTTTGGGGTTTGGAGATGCTCAAAATGCCAACAATCCTAGATCTCATTTCCTAAAGAAATTTCCCAATCTGTCTTATGGGGACAACCAGGACGGGCAATTCTAAGCCACTCCTTTATACGTGGAGGAAACCTCAAGCGCCAACCTTGACAGAAATGACCGGCCCGCAGGACTCGTGGGCCAGCAGGTTCGAGGATCAGGGATTCACTTTAGACACTAAAGTGAGACAAGTCCTAGGTTATGGTGACATGAAAACCATTCTGTGTCCACACAGAGTTTCAATCCGGCTCAGAAAGCCTCAGGAAAAGCCAGCAATTTTATATATTAAAAACCTAGACACCACTGTCTCTCTCCCTTAAAAAACACTGGTGTGAAAGTTTAAAAATTGACCACACTTTAATACAGGCCAGACCAGATCATTCTGAAACAATGTACACCCTACCTCAATACATTTCCAAGACAAAGGTAAGAGTTAGAAAGCCCAAAAAGAAAAAGACAGTCATCATTTCTCAAACTGCAAGAAACTGAAACAAAAATACAAACCTCAAGTTGTGCTGCAGAAGGAAGCCGTGAGCAACATACTGAAGGGTGCAGGACGCATGCAAGGATGGACGGGCTACTGGCTTCAGTGTATCGAAAAGAACTGGCTGACATCGAACAGGATGATCAGTAACTGCCTGCACTCAAGACAGTGGAGAAACAAGGCACCAGCAAATGCGTCATGTCAATGGAAGGAGCAGCACTTGAGCTGTCTCACCAAACGGAAGCAATGCAGGAAGCACTCACTGACCTATGCCAAGCAATCTGGGAGGCCGCTGCCTGGCCAGGAGATCGAGAGAGATCTACCGGACATTCAGGACCATTCCACAGGAACGGGAGCTGAGAGAATGAGGAAATAGTCGACCATCTTATCACAGGTGTAGACAATTATGCAGAAGATACTGTATAAATAGTTGCAGCCGTCCATGGACAGCTGCCCTAAATTCCTGCCAGATTCAGGCAAGGACATGAAGCCAGAGACTCCATGGCTGGTATTAGATGGATTTGGCTAAAAGCTGAGCATCCCAGTGTGTTATTGACTACGCCAAGGCATTTTATGAGATAGATAAAACCAATCATGCCTAACACTTCAAAGGATGTGAATTCCAGAACACTTCATGGCAGAATTAGACAGAGACCAAGAGGCAGCCATCCTAACAAAGCAGGGAGGGACCGCACGCTTTGAAATCAGGAAAGGTGTGCGTCAGGGTCTTTCCTTCGCAGCACACTTATCCTGTGGGCACTGTACTACGTGAGGGAGATCACAGCCTCTGGGCTGGGGAAGACTAATTAATAACCTGCAGTACTATGCAGATGATAACACCTTTATTGCTTACAGTTAAGAGGACTTGGAGCACTTACTCATGGGGATCAATAACTAGAGGATGGATTAACGTCAACATTAGAAAAAGAAAAGGGGAAAAAATCCTGGCAAGAGGACGAGTAAACAGTATCAGGATAAATGAAAATTAGAATGGAGTTGTCTTGAATTTCATCTACCAGCCACCTGAATCCGCAATCCATATCCACGGAACGGTAGTCAAGAAATCACACGATCTAAGACGTTGCGCAAACGGGCCGCTGAGAGCAAGGATGCCCTTGGAGACAGGTGCACCTGGCACCGCTCTCGGCTCTGACATCTTCAGTGGCCTCCCCACGTGTGGAAGCTGAGACTGAGGACCACCCGGTGCTCTTGCACCGTGGCCGTGTTGAAAAATATTAACTATACCAAGGACTGTGGAGCAGGAGACAGAGCTACAGCCAGATCACTCTGCTCCTTACAAGCCAAGCAGGCAAGACTTCTTCACGTGAACTTGGGACGTGTTGGTTAGGAGTGGCCTGACTCCCGGAAAGTGACATCATAAATGCTCAAGCAGAGGGTCCGAGAAAAAAAGAGGGCCTTCAGCGAGCTGGATTTACACGGTAGCTGTAACCATGGGCTCAGACACAGTCGTGAGGGTGCGGGTGACAAGGGTGTGTTTCACACTGCTGTGCACACAACCCCTACGAGTTGTAACCAAGTGCCAAGTGGACAGCCAGCCCCCAAGGACGACGACAACACAGGATCCTGAACTTCAGCTGCTGTTTTAAGGCGGCGGTTCTCAACCTTCCTCACGCCGCGACCCTTTAATACAGTTCCTCATGTGGTGGTCACCCCCCAACCATAAAATTGTTTTCGTTGCTACTTCATCACTGTCTTTTTTTTTTTTGGGGGGGGGGGGCTACTGTTAAGAATCGGGAAAAAAATAAAAGAATCGGGCGACCACAGGTTGAAAACGCTGTTTTCAGGTGTTTTGTTTAAAACCGTAAATCTGTTTGTCTGTTTGTTTTGGAACTCTTGCATCAGAATCTCCTGACAAAAGTACTCAAATCAGCCTAAGGATGTAGTAAAGAAGCCCCAGATAACCTGAGGATGCGCTGTCGGTATATACTTTGCTGAAGCTCTGCTCACATGTGTGTCTGTTTCTGGGGACTGGCTCCTCCTGACAACATGTCTAAAATGCTTCAGAAGAAGTCTTGCCACCCTGGTTTCTAAGAAGCCTCCTGGCTGTACTTCTTCCGATGCAAATCGGTCTCTTCTTTTGAGCCCTTGAAGGCGTCCGTCCGGTGGCTTCGTGCTCCTGCGCTGGGTGCGATCTGCAAGGTAGCCGTCAGAAAGCGCCAGCTGCTCCACGGGGAAAGCTGCGGCTTCCTACTCCTGGGACAGACAGTCTCAGAAGAAGTCCAGAGGGGCAGTTCTGCCCTGCCCGGTAGGGGGATGTGAGTGGGCGTAGACTCGATGACACGAGTTCGAGCGAGTCCGAATGCTCGGTATAGTTATTAGTTTCCAGTAACACCACAATCCAAAGGCGCCCACTCTTTTTCTGCCTTACCATGCACGTAATGCCTATTGCTCACCCCCAACAGTTTATTCAGGACATATCAGAGACAGGTTAGAGCTGCAGAAACCATTTCACATACTGACTTCCTCCCTTCTTTTTACCATTCCTACCACACAGAGGAAAAAAAGAACAGGAAAGGGAGTTACAACGTTCTGACCCTGATGAGGAGCAGCACTCTGAACGTCCATCCATCCATCGGATTCCGAGGGAGTCCCTCGCTCGGGATTCCTTTTGAGGTTCCTCGTGAAGGGGGCTCCGCAGAGAAGATGGCATGGCATTCGCTCACAGAGTACATATGGACTTGACAAGTCACGTAAGCGGAAATATATAGCCCAATAACCTAAAAGAGTATTTAATGAGGCTAATTTAAGCTAGAAACGGCTTAATACACTTAAAGTACATGATTCCTTTTAGTATTTTAATATATTGTAATTGGAGTGATGATCTGTTTACAAGCGAGTTTAAGAACACTGCCAGAGGCATGATCATCTGACGGAGTAGCGTTGCCATTAAAACAAAAACAAGAACGCTCCAGATATAAATACCCAGGCACGTGCCAACGGGCAAGCTTACATGATCGATGAAACCACCCTCCCAGAGATGCTCAACAAGAGGGCCGAGCCCACGCTCTTGAAGGCTGTCACACACAGGTGACACGGAGCCGGAAATGACGGTGGCATTTCCTGCTGGCCCCAACCAGTGAGGCAGACAACTTCCCACCCTGGGATCCCAAGCATCCAAAAATAGACGAGTGAATTAAAGTTGAGCTCAGGGTACAGTTTTGCATTTCCCCCCAAGCACCCCTCCCCTCCCCCATTCGGAAGACAAGGGCTCAGGCTGGCAGGGCGGCTCACCTGCTGCGGCTGGTACCTCTGCTGGGACGGCGAGGGCAGGTACTGCGCCTGCGGAGGGAGGTGCGGAGGCGGAGGCTGCTGGTTGTAATACGGCTGCTGGCCCTGCTGGCAGTAACCACTCAGACCTTGCTGTCCGTACTGAGGCGGCACCTGTCAGAAAGTCAAGCAGAGCAAGCGACAAGGTCAAAACACACGGGGTAATGGCATCAACTGGAGTCCGTGGGTCGGGGATTTTCCATCCTCATTTCCTTCATCGACAGCCTACTCCTCACACGTTTGACCTTGCCCTGGAAAACGCATCCGGTGTACCGGAGAATCAAACACGGATCACGCCGTGAACGCGGAGTGGGATTAAATAGAAACAAAATCCCTGGGTTCCTCAGGCAAGAGAAAGATGAATCTTTCTACTCTCACAAAGAGTTACCATCTCGAAACCCACGGGGCCAGTCGCCGTGGACTTGACGGCAGTGGGCGGGGTTGGCTAAGACCGACACTGACACACAGGCTCTGCTGGGAAGGCCAGAGCGACGTGGTGGCCGCCCTCCTGGGCAGCGCTGAGACTATGTAGAGGCAGGTGCCACCTCCGTCCTTGGGGGAATTGCTCCCCAGGGATGTGGCTCAGAAACCACAGACGGGGCACCATGCGTTTCTTGTTTCCAGCAACGATGAAGGCTGGGCTTTCCTGACCGCCTGGGTGGCAGCCACATACGAGGGTCACCAGCAACGCTGCTGACCAGCTACTTTGGCTCAAGGGGAAATACATTTCTTGACAATGAGATGGAACTCCGTTGGGGAAAATCTGAATGGATCCACAGAACCATCCGGTGGAGTGCCTCCGGGAAGGGTCCTCACATCTGACTTGAGAGAGTTTCAAAAACGACTGAGAAAGCAATGTGTCTGAGTGGACAGAACAGGTCACGAGGCAAAGCATGAGGTGCATCTGGGGGTGGCTGGTGCCCGTTGGTCAATTCTGACTCCTAGAGACCCTAGATGACAAAGAACCGTCCCACGGGCCTTCCCAGGGAGCGGATCTGGTGCGTGAACCACTGGCCTTGCAGTCAGCAGACCCGGCACCTACACACTGAGCCACCAGGCCTGCAAGTGTCACCAAACCAGACCAAAACAGCCCAAAATCTCTCCTCACGGTGCGGCCGCTCATTTCCATGGCCCTCAAAATCCTGGAAAGTACCCTTCGAGGCGAAATCTTTCCTGGTGCAACGCGCAGCACACCTGTGCTTCCCTTTGTTTAATGAGAAATGTACAGACACAGGCTAACGGGGAAGACAAGGCAGAGGACACAGTACAAAGCACAGGCCTCGCAGAGAGAAGGGCCAGCTCACTGGTGGTCCCAGCGAGCATGAGCCCCAGACACCCACCTGTTAGAGCAGCCATTCTCAACCTGTGGGTCCCGACCCCTTTGGGGGTTGAACAACCCTTTCACAGGGGTCACCTGAGACCATAGGAAAACACCTATTTCTGCTGGTCCTAGGAACCGAGACACCGCTCCTCTATCCATCTCCAGGCGGGTCCGCCCACATGCAGATACGCCCTCATACGAGTACCCAGCGTGAAGCCTGTGACCCATGCTACACCATGCCTCAAGACAAAATTTCATTTATTTGTCATCAGCGACAAATATTTCACAATATGGGATTACATACTGTTCTTGTGACTCATCGCTATGCTTTAATTAGGCTCAAATTTTAACAATGAAAATGCATCCTGCATATCAGATATTTATTTACATGATGATTCATAACAGTAGCAAAATTACGGTTACTAAGTAGCAATGAAAAAATTTGATGGCTGGGGGTTCACCACCACATGAGGTACTGCATGAAAGGGTCGCGGCGTGAGGAAGGTTGAGAACCACCGTGTTAGCGCAATCAGAGCCCAGTTCCAGACACACACAAACCCCCACCTCACTGCAGACTCGGGGTCGGGAGGAAGAAGGGGAGGAGTGATTGGGGAGGAAAAATAAAGACACTTGGCACCTAAGGCCCATCTGTCCAGAAATCCCACTACTCTGCTAGCAAGGACCAGAAGAAACTTCAAAAAACAACCCACACAAAACCCCTCAAAACTCACTGCCACGGAGTCGACTGTGGCCCAAGAACCGGCCCTCTGAGTCACCCACACTGTCAGCCTTCATGGGAGTAGAGAGCGGAGTCTCTTTCCCCAACAGCGACTGGTCGTTCCCAACTGCTGATGGAACCTGTAACTGCTCCGCCAGAACAAGGAAACGGGCGCCACTGGCCCACAGCTGCCTCCCGCGAGGCGAGACCGGGCCCAAGCTGGCCCAGGGCAAGTCCATACAGAGAAGCATGCGCGACAGCTCAGCTGAATTCTCTGCTTGTATTTATTTTACAGCTTGGTGTCTCATAACGGATGTAGGTTCCTGCCTTACACAGCTCCACATGCTACACCCGCCTAAAGACGACCACAACAGCCCCCCCTTTCCGCCCCACACCTATATGGTCGATCTGGTATCTAATATTCCATTTCACACCAGCATCTTTGCAGCTTGCTTTGAAGCAGTTAAGCTGACACTTTCACCAGCATTAAAATCGCTGCAGAGCTCAACGGACCGCAGCCCCACCCCTCGGGCTGCCCTTGAGTGGACTGGCTTTTGGCTTTACATAGATCCTGACATGAGATATGGGAGTGCTCCTGGCGGGCAGGGTGCCACTCCCTAAGCGAGCCAGCAGCAGGGCAGACTGCACACCTACAAACAGGAGCGCAGACATCAACTCACTGGGCTCTAACGATGGTCCAGCTTGGAACCAGCCGGAGGGGGCGGGGGGCGCACGCTGGGAACTACAAATGGTCAAATAGGTGCTGGGCAAGTTTCTCACTGCCCACAACCAACAACTCATTCCCCAGCCCCTCGTGCGTCCTTGGTACGATGGCGCCGCCGAGGTGCAACAAGGTTCGGGGGTTCCTGACACGTTTACCCCCAGGTCTGGAAAGGTACTCACCCCTACGGCTGCACGTTCAACCAAGCAACAGACAGGTCTCAACGGGGAAGCGCGATCACAGGGGGCCCAACACCGTGGAATACATAACCAACCAACTGAGACCAAAATGGCAGCATTCACCCCAGAAGAGAGTTCAGGAGGGCTGGGGAGGTGCGGGGAGAAGGACACGAGACACATGGGGAGGAAGGGGGGCCTTACATCTGGGGAACCTCACAGATGGCGTCAAACAAAACTCTGGTGTGGGTTTTGGAAAGGAGAGCTGCTCTGCTCTGTCAACCACCCTCCAAGTCGCCATGAAAACGTGTACCACGTGGCCAGCAATGCCACACCCAGAGGATCTGAAAGCAGGGACTCCCGACAGATGCAAGCAGCCCAGGGGGCCACACCCAGAGATGGCCAGGCCAAGGAAACGTCAGCTGTGCGCACAAAGGGGTTCGGCGCTGAAAGGAAGGTCACTACTCCACAGACGGGGCTGGGGCAGATCAACAAGCGAGCGGAGCCCGGTACAGGAGGGCAGATCTTGAAAGACCCGGTTTATAGGAAACCGCGAGAAAGACACATGCGATGGTGGGAACATTACAAACTACCGCGGCGGAGGGCCAGGGGAGGGGAGCCGTTTCTTAGTGGGCACAGGGTCTGCGTGGGGTGAGAAAAACACTGGGCAATACGGTGGGGCTGGCTGGACAACAGGGCGAATCTAAGGCCACTGAATTTACACGTAAAATTGGAAATGGCCTGGCCATTTTGTACAACCATTTGGCGATGTCTTCTAAAATCAAACACGCCTAACACACGCCCCCGGTGAAACCAGCCCTGGATACCCCCAAAAAGGGGTGGACAAAGGCAGGAAGTGGCTGGCTTATAAACTCTCATAGGTAGGGAATATACTTAGAAGATTAGGGTGTAAGTGTTCACTTAACTGCAGTTGTTAGGAATAGAATATTGGTGTCTTTGTTCACTTATAGAATATTATGCTTCAATGAGGCTGGCACATATTGAACTGTAAGCATTTTCGTTTTATCCTATGATGTACAGATATAATTTCATTATTGTTTTGTTTAAAAATTACATATGGCTAAAGCGTTGTGTTAGAGTGTCAAGTTGACGAGGGGTGGTCTGTAGCAGTTAATAATCTCCTGTTGACTTGAGTCGAGTCTGTCAATTAGGGCACAGCCTGATCCCTCCCTGTGGGCATGGCCTTCTGAGGATTCTGGAAACTCCTGTCTTCCTTCCTGGAGCTGGGACACACACTCTCTCTGCTTCACATTGCTGTTGACAAGCCACCTGATGGCAGCCAGAGCCCCAGGGCTGAGATGCTTCCACCACCACTGGATTCACCACTGGCCTGTGATCTTCCTGCAGTCGGTGTCACTGCATGGGCTGCATGAGTCTGAAGAGGAATTTATGGACTAGAACCAGACATATGGTCTAATATTGGACTTATGGACTTGATTTGGACTGGGCCGGGATGTTCTCTTAATATACAATCGCTCTTTGATATAAAACTTTCTCTTACACACAAACATGAAAAAAAAGGTTTGCTTGTTTTAAATTAAGTATAATCTATAATTAAGAGAGAAACACCACTTTGCTCTTCTTTCAGACCCCTGCTGTGAGTCGTAGATTTGGGTTGACATGGTAGTTACATAATCTGGTGTCAATTTGGGACTGGAGAGGATTAAGAGTGAAGGGGTGGAGTCTAGTCTGTCAATCGGATCATAGCCAATGAGGCCTCTGTGTGGGCATGGCCTTCTCCTGAGAACTCTGGGAACTCCTGGACTTCCTCCTTGGAGGCAGGAGACAGACTCTCGGCTCACTTCCTTGGAGACTCTATTGACAAGGCTGACCCCCTACAAGACATCCCTGAGGAGAAGCCACGCGGACCTACCTTGATGCAGCCAGAACCCTGGACCTGGAGAAGCCACACGGAGACCCTGCCAGTGCTGAGACGCTTACAACGCCACTGGGTCTACAAGAGCTGGCTCACCTCCTGGCACCTCCCACTCTGGGAGCCTGTGGTGAGGAACTTTCCCCCACATGGGGCTGGGCTGCCTTAAACAGGGGCCTCAAGCCACTCCCTGGACATGGCCCACCATCCTTGCTGGCCGAGAACTTGGCCACCCAAAGCCAGAGGGGTGAGGCTCTCCTCCTCTGGTAGGAGATGCATGAAAT